AGGTGAGGGGGAACTGCAGGGCCTCAGTTGCCAAGTGGCTGGTAGTATCTGTCAGCTGTTTGCACACTGTTTACTCATAGGGGATCTATTACAAGTGCTCAAATGAACCGGCCGCTTAGAAACTAGCAGCTTCCTGGGAGCTGCAATTACATAAGCATATATTTTTAATATAATAATAATTAAAAAACAAGTAGCCGCGGTATGCCTGGATCCGCTACAGCTATCCGACAAGAGAGACTGAAGAAGACCAGTGCAAGGCCAATTCCCCTTGGTCTATTCACCATTAACGAGGAAGATGAACAGCAAAAGAATGGAAATTCCAGAAGACCAAAAGGTATGCCTTAGCTCTGCCCTTTGGTTGGAACCGGAACCAGCTATTTCCCGCACTGTCTGTAGCGCATTTACAAACTGTGTGCATGCGGCGTGGAGTGCTTGTGACCTCCTAGCACAGTTTGCTGGTGCTGTTTACACATTCTGTAGAGCTGTGGATGCATGAAATGGGGAACAGATTTTGCAGATTTGGTAGGTTTCAGATCAGCTGCCTTTCTGACCCAGGCTACCTTCTTGGCCTAGAGATCTTTAATTTTCACAATGCTCAGTTGAACAGTTACCAATGACACTGTCCTCACCCGGCGGAAGAAATAGGAGTTATCCAGGTTTAAATGAACATCTCCCCACCTTGCTTAGGTGCATCGGTGATTTCTGTTTAATAAGGAGAGTTTCCCCTTGGAAGGGGATGAGTTAAAGTGGCAGAAGAGTGCAGCCTTTCCAAGGGCAGAGGGTTAAGATGTTACTTCCTTTTATATTCTGAAATACTGAGATCTTGAAGGAGGAGGTAAATAAACATTGAGCACACTGTAGGGGGCAAAGCTAGGGAACAGGGAGGGGGACCATGAGGCTTTATAACTTCTGATGGTAACTACTACTGAACATCCCTATGGAGGTTGGATTATGCTGGGTGCAGAAAGGAGAGGTCTGATTCTTGTGCATCTCTTTCGTAATGATGAAATGGAGTAGCAGCTTGCCTGGCTTCTCAAATCCCTGTGTACTGCATCGTGTCAGCATTGTCTCATAGCCGCCCCCCCACCCGGACTCTAATGGTCAGGGATGGCAACATCATGCCTTCTTGAAGAAGGGCTTTAAGGCTTGCATTTTAAGTTTTTTCTTGCAACCCCCTTCCCCAAAATATATAAGCTACTCATCTCTTAAGCTGATAGATTACCAGTTTTGTTGTTTTCGTGTGGTGATTAAATTTTAGCTTGCATTCAAATTGTTCTGTCACGGAGATATCAAATTTTCCTCTGTGTGGTACAGAGCAATAGCATGGTAAAGTAGCCGGCAAATATTTAAACACTGATAGAACAAGTGTTTGAATAGAACCCAGTATCTGAAAATGACTGGCTTTCTTTTTCCTGGTTCTTGAGTGAATCTTAGTTTGCTTTTCTTAAATATAATTGAAACTGTCTACTTTAATTTCAGAAGTGTATTTTTACTTCACTTTTAAAATACCGTATACAGAGAATTTCTAATAAGTAGAATCTAAGTAACGTAGTTGACTTTAATTTCACTGTCAGACATAGCTTATATCTTAGAACCAGATGACTTCAGGAATTTACCAATGCCATGGATGGAAGCTGTTGTAGGTGATTGCTGGTTGGTTTTTTTTGTTTGTTTTTTGACCAGGAATTAGACAGTTGAACCAGAGTGTGCTCTTGATGAAAACCCAGTACTTTAAATTGTTAGTAGCAAATCATTTGGCCTCTTAGGAGGCAGTAACTTTCTAAATTAATGTAGATCTGTTGAACTGTGCCCACTGTGTATTTTCGGAAATGTTCTTCATTTGCAGCACTTTTCCCTTGGGCATCTTGGAGCAGTAATTTAGGATAGCTATCCATTTTATTCTGAGTAGTTTTCTTGAATTCCTCTCTTCTGTGTTTTGTTTGTTTTCATTTGCCTTTAGTATTTTATTTAAAGGGAAGAAGGGTGGGGGAAGTAGGTGCTTCTAAAAATCTATTTGTTTTTGGCAATGCATGCAACTTTTTGGATAAGAGAGACTTAAGGAGGTTCTGATCCCCTACCATTTTTAAAGAGCCACACATGGCTAGTGGTTACCTTCTTAGACGAGACAGTTCTAGTCTGTAGAGCTGTGATCTGAATTTTTGTCCTCTCTGCATTGTCCAACCTTACTTGCTTCCTGGTGCCAGATATGGTCAGGTCCTGAAATGAATGTGGTTATTAAGAAGGGCCTGATGGAGCAGACAGCCCCTTCCCTGCAAGGGAGCATAGTAACCTGGCTTTATAGACAATTTCAGTTGTCCTCTTCCACCTAAATGTTACTGCCTGCTCTGAATATTATACTTACTACTCACTGGTTGCCAGTATCATCTTTTGCACTGTATAATGGACTTCTGTTTTCTAAATTATTTCCAAAGCATCATAGCAAGATGACATACAGACTATCTTTTATGTGTTATTATTAAGATAAACAGTCAGAACCTTTGTTTTCTTTTTTGCCTGCTCTGTGGTCTAATCAGCTAACTGTGTCCAGACCTGGTTTTTATGCATAGTATCTTTATTCTGTCATTACCAAGAATAAAGAAGTTTGCTATCTGAATTCAATAAGGTAATGGTCCTGTCCAGGATTACCCTGGGTAATGAAGTTCCATCTTTCCAAATACTCTGCTCTTGGGTAACCATCCTAATGAACTCTGTAGAAATGAACGTATGGATTACTGTCTAGACTCCCAGTGGTGACTTCAAAATTACCCTGGTAGGGTGAGACAGTAGTTTGGTTAGCTGGTAGACTAGCTCAGTTTTTGAAGGTGAAATTTCTCTCCCTTGTAATCAGTAGGGATGTAAATGTTTTACATGCCTTGCTATTATTGACGAATAACATTTAGACAGTCATTGGGAGTGAGCTGGGCTTCTGCTCTTATACCTCTAGAACCCAAGTCTCAGTGTAATGCTGACCTGAGGACTGCTGCAGGAAAGCTTATTTAGGTACTGCAGTGACTAAATGCCCTTGCTTAGGTTTCAAGGCAAACCTACCTTATGGTGAGTTTTGCTGAGCACAGTGTCATTAATAAGTAAAAGGACCTTTTCTCCCTAAACCAACACTTGTTTAAATGTTCATTCTGTACAGATTACTTTGCTGGGGCATTGTGGAGGTGGTGCAAAGGTAATTGACATGGTTTCTGCTCTCAGAGGTGTTTACCTGTCTAGTGAAGGAAGACCACTATGTACCAATAATGCAAGAATATAAACTGACATTGGGGGAAGGGCTGAGAGTATAATGAAAGAATCTGTACCTATCTCCGTGCCCTTTGCTAGACTGTAAGCTTCTCAAGGGCCAAGACTACTCTTCTGTATATGAAATTGCAGAGTGCATGAACATTATTGAATGGAGATAAATTCAACATCTAAAAATAATTTGCACAGGCTCTGAAAGTCTTACTAACATAAGAATACTAAGAAATGTTGGTCATATTAGGATTGTCCTTCCAAGGTAACTATTTTGATGTTTGGATGTATCTGATAGGTTAATCCTATTACTCTCTACCACATTGCCTTTACTTAAGAGTATATCAGGGATTCTACCCTGTTTTGTTGTTTTCCATTTATATTATTCATCATTTTCATTGGTGGAAAAATGAAGGCATATGTTTACAAGGTAGTATTAACTGACTGCTTTTTTAATATCTAGGTTAATGTCTTGTGCCCATTTTGTTAGCAAATTGCAGATTAGATTGTAAAGAAATAAAATTTCTCCTTGAAATCAGGACACAGTAGTTCTGGGAAGCTGTGCTCTCCTTCGCCCTTTTCCCCTCCTCCTGCCTTTTTGTTAAAATGTGTTTTTATGGAGCCTGCAGTAATTTATTTTCTTTTGGCTTATCCACTCTAAAGGTAGAATTTCTGCCAGTTAAGGTTTCCAAATGAAATATGATCTACCACTTACCATTTATATTCCTATTGGATTGGTGATCTAGCAATTGTAATGTCCTCTTTGTAAGTCATGAGTCTTTTTTTTCCCCCAAAAAGGAGTGTTATGTCAAGAAGTGCAAATGCCATTCTAGAATCATTCTCCCTCATTTTCTTCTTTTCCTCTTTTGTTCTGTAAGACTTGGACTCTTGTCTGTTCCCAGTGTCTTTATTTGTGCCATTTCAGGACTAGGAAGAATCTTTAGCAGTAGAATTTTCCAGCTAGTGGGGCAAAAGTATAGTTCAGAAGAACAATAATATCAAAGATTCCTATTATAAGGAGGAAATCTTAAAGTCAAATTGATTGGCATAAATTTTATTTGCTGAAGAGACCTGAAATGTAATGTTTTATTTAAAGCATTTATATAAAAATAACAATAGGGGATGTCAGGAACAAGGATCACAACATCTGATGTATGGGTTGCACTCATTGGAATACCTGTTGAGTGAGTAGAACTGTCTCCCAGGCATTCTGTGTTACAGTAGAAATTACCATAGGTATCACTATACAAGGGGAATGTGATTTGACCTCTACATAACCCAAATTTTTTAATACGGTGAGGTGCTATATGCATTGGACTTTGCTTGCTTTATAAAACTAAAAGGTTTAAAAATTATGTGCGTGTGTCAAGAGCTATAATCAGTAGAGCTAAAATAGCTGACTGCTCTAACCATAGGAACCAAACACATGTATTTGGTGAAAATCTCCCAGTTGATAAATCTTACATATTATTTGTTAGAAGGTAGAATTGAGTATCCTTTTCCACTAACACCAGCATATCTCAAGGGGCAACTTTAAATTCAATTCGTTGTTACTGAAAAATTATCAGGTCATTTGCAGGTACATTAACTGTGTTTTGAGCAGAAACTAATACCTTCACATCAACAAAGGAAATTTTGAGAGAATTCATCTTAATTCTCAGTTTTTAGCATTTAGAAGAACCCATTTATGTTGGGCCCTCTATGTATTAGGTTTATGTTCTAGATTTGTCAACTTCAAAAGTCATACCTCATTATACCTCAGATCTGGATACAAAGACCCAAAGTCTACCACAGATAGACATAAGACATTGTGTTTGAAGTGTTTACCAGGACACTGATGAATATTTTTGACTCTAAAATGCAAGTTCCATTTTCTTAGGCTTTCTGCCCAGTGATGATTATTAGAGAATTTTCATAGATTCTGTCCAGATTCCAGAGAATGGAGCTTAGGCATATTGACCAAAGAAAATTATGTTCACAGTTTCAGGCCTAATAAAGTAGTAGCAAGATATTCTGTGGATTCAGCGGAACCAGTCATCCTAAAACCATCATTGGGAACAACATTATGAAGGTTGGTGTGGTGCCTCCTCAATA